AAGAGAGCTGTTTCCGCAGCCGCATTATCGGCAGCAGACAGAGCAAACAAATGAAAGGGCTTTGGTGGAAAATCTTAATTGAGGCTGGACAGTTGTAAACTCATTAAGGGCCGAATTCCAGACAGTTCGCAGACCCGGCCTTTATGGCACACCCTTACTGCCCATTCTTTGAAGTTCCTTCTGTCTGCAACAACAGAGGGCGTCTCAACCTGGCGGCGGGGTGGGGGTAGGGGTGCGAAGGGATGTCCCATCCCCCCTGCGCCCTGGTTCCCTTTTTACGTGTCCAACTACAGATACCGTTGCAGAAGTCGCAGGGGGCAGGGGATGGGGGCGGGGGAAGGGCGAGAAAAGAAAAGGGGGAGATGAGGTTGAACCTTCCAGCCCCATCTACAAGGCTCTAGGGACTCCGAGGTAGTGGCGGTTCCCTCCCGCAGCCCTTTACACCCCATAAACGGTAACAGCCCTCATTTTCTTTTATGATGCTTTGGGCTCCTTCTTTGCCTGGGCCTTGCCTCTGCCGGGACTTGTGCTCAGAGAGGGGCGCGCAGACCAGGGCTCAGAATTCCCCGAGCCAGCCAGCCAAGATATGGGGATGCGGGGGCACAGGCCTTCAGTTCCCCGAGAGCCCCAAATGTCTGTCCCGGAGCCAAGTTGGAGCGATCGGACTCCTGTTTCCCTCCTTGAAGACTCCTTAGGAGGCAGCCACTCGGCTCTTGGTCCTACTGCCCCCCACCTGCCCACCCCGACTGCCAGGGAAGGCCCAGCAGTCTCCTCAGATCTGGGTTTGGGAAATTTCTTGGGGCCCCAGGATGAAAGAGGGACTTGTCATTGTTACTGGCCGGTGATACCCGAGACCCCAGCCCAGCTCTTCAGAGGCCCCCCGACCGCCCCACAAATGGTCACAAAGCCTCGAACCTGGCCTCACCGCCTGGTGTTCCCCAGCTTTCCTCCGCTGCTCGCGCGGCCAGGCAGCGGGCCTGGAGGGGAGCGCTCAGGCCCGCCCGCGGCCGGCTACAGTACGTTCCAGCTTCCCAAAGCCCACAGAGCAAAATCGAGGTTCTGTCCTCTTTCAGCCGAGCCCCTACCCAGAGACTACCCAGGTTCCCCGTCCCAGGAGAAGGTACAAAGAACTGACCCGCAACATAAAAAATATATAGATAGATAGAAAAGAATCAATATATTTTATTTAACAAAAAGTTAAATATCATCTCAACACAATTTGGTCAGTAGGCCTTGAGGTAACTATTGCAAAATATACAGTGTGTGCTCAGCCCAGTGGAAACCCCAGATTCACCAAGAATACAAATCTACAGTAGCCCAATGGCGGTTTCATAGTGTATAATTTATTATCAATAAAATTAACTCCATTACAATAAGCATTCATTTTCCCCCGGTTAAAATTAAACGTAAACCATAGGTAGTAACCTTCTGCACATACGTATAGCTCCAAATATCCTCATGGTTTGTCTGGTGCAAAAACAATATTCAAGCTGGTCTGATTGCTTTTTCCTTTAATATGTGGTTTATATATACAATCGATAAGACAGGTTGATAGCGCATGTAGAAACTAAAATGCCTGATTTTCAGAAGTGGAGAAAATCATGAATCTATGCATCCTAGAGAATCTTTTCTTTAAAACAAAACAAAACAAAAGTATTTCACTGGGAATTCCTTACAGCTAATTTACAATCAAAGGTTAACAGCCTAGTTATACAGAAGACATATTCCACTACAGAGCTATACCCTATGCAACTGTTTTCCTCCTCATAAACAACCTGAGTTCAAATTGAATTCTAGCTTTCACAATCACAACGGGTGCTTCACCCAGCACAGAAGTTTGAGTCACAAAACATAATTACCACAATAAAACACAGTGTTCAAGTATCTGGGCAGATCGCTCTGCCTCACAAAGAGAAAATTAAATTAACTACACAGACTAAAAACTATACAGCCTGCAGTCAACAGTTGTGCATTATAAAAAAAAGGTAGTTTTTTTTTGTTTGTTTGTTTGTTTTAAGTCAGGAACAGGTAGATTTTATAAAATATATACAAGCTAGCACACGCAGCCATCCGCGCTAATGCCCCTTCTTTTTCTTTCTTCCTCTTCTTCTTCTCCTTTTTTTTTTTCCTATAGAAAATGGAAAGCTTACAATACCTCCTTCATCAAAGTGGCAGGCCAAGGAGCCAGCCTGAGAAGGGTGTGCCAGGGAGAGATGAGGCCGGGAGTGTAGAGCCGCTCTGTGAGGGGTGCTGGAGGCTCGGGTGCGAGGGGATGGGAGAAGGGGGTGGGCAGTCCTTTCTCTCTCTAGCTCTGTTTTCTAAACGAACTCCAGTGGCATCACTCATCCTTTGCTCGGTCCTTGTTGATTTTCTTCATTTTCATCCTGCGGTTCTGGAACCAGATCTTGACCTGCCTTTCGGTGAGGTTGAGCAGTCGGGCCACCTCGTACCTGCGGTCCCTGGTGAGGTACATGTTGAACAGAAACTCTTTCTCCAGCTCCAGCGTTTGGTGTTTCGTATAGGGGCAGCGCTTCTTCCGCGTGGAGCGCGCATGAAGCCAGTTGGCCGCAGGGTTGTCTGCGGGAGAGAGAAATGGGGTTTAAAAGGAGAAGTACACCCCCCTCCTCCTCTGGGGGCTAAGGAACCTCCTAGGGTCTTCGGCCAAAGTGCAGGACGCTGCTGAATTGGTTAGGGAAGGCGGCAGAGGCTCGCACACAATGGACCCCGGCAGACAGACGCAGGGACGGTCACTCACAATTGCACGCAGGAGAACCTCAGCCCCCCTGCTCTCGGAGGCCCTCCTCTCCCCTCCTCTCCCCTCCTCTCTCCTCCTCTCCCTTCCTCTCCTTTCCTATCCTTTCCCGCTCTCCACACTCCGAGTGATGAAATTTGGAAAAAGATCTTTTGCCCTGCTGCCTTGTATTCGTGTAGTAAGGTTAATTTCCTTTTTATTCTCTCTCACTCACTCTGTCTTTCCTCCCCCTCCCCTTTCCTTCTATTCTACCCTCCTCCTTATTTGACCTCCCTGGAAGGCCGTGGGAGCGGGGCAGGCCATCACTGCGCCCCTAGGCACCCCAAGGCCATTGATCACTTCTCCAGTTTATTTGAATAATCTGGCATAGGGACCCTCGTGGCCTGGTCGCCTGCAGCCTCATCTAAGGCAGGATTTACGCCTCCACTGGCTGAAGGCAAGAAGTGGAGGGAATCGGCCGTCTTCCCCAGCGTCCTAGCTGCAGCTGACGCCGCTGCTCCCAGATAATCCAGCCGCACAAAAGACTCTGCCGCGCTGCTTTCGAAGAACGACTCAAAGTATCTCTGTCCTGGTCCTGGGCAGCCTGGGAGATGGGTGGCTGGTCTTGGCTCGGCCGGTAGCTCCCGCCCCGCCCCCTCTCTTGGTGGCAGCCGCCTCCCCTCCCCCCGAGACCGGCGGGCCCGCTTGTCACAGCTCTGTGGACTTGGGACCCCATCTGAGGCGTCCCAAACAGCAACTTCTGACTCCCGGCCCCTGCTTAGGAGGCTTGCAGCGCAGGCGAAGGCAGGCTCAAAAGAAAGCTGGCGGGCCGGCAGATCCGGGTGGCCGGCGTGGAGGCGGCGGTGGGTCTGGAGGGAGGAGACACTTACTGGGATCGATGGGGGGCTTGTCTCCGCCGCTCTCATTCTCAGCATTGTTTTCGGAGAAGGCGCCTTCGCTGGGCTGTTTTTCTCTATCAACTGGAGGAGAACCACAAGCATAGTCAGTCAGGGACAAAGTGTGAGTGTCAAGCGTGGGACAGTCACCCCT